GGTCCCTTCCAACCCAAACCATTCTATAGTTGTATGCCTGAGGAAGACCTCCAGAAGGTGGGGTGGTAGGACGCATTGTGTCAGGTCCCTCCCTGCAATCAGAAACTGAACCCTGCACGACTTCTGACAGAACTCAGATTTTTGTCTTAAAATATTGTGCTGGAATATTAGCCTGACTGTAACTCAAAATATTATCGTGGCAGAAGCAATGGTGGGCACCATATCTGCAGAGCTCAGTGCAAACCGATTGGGGGAAAGTGGGGTGCAAATTGTGGGGGAGGTTTTCGGTGACTGCCGTTCTGGGTTAAGGCTGTTCCATTCCTCTTTTCTGGAAGCCTTCTGTTTCCCAAAGGTAAATCAATAGTGGGAGGTGCCTGGATATGGAATAAGATTAATAATATAGGAAGGAAAGATGCCATTTATGTCAAGTTAACGTGGGCTCAGCAACAGGGGCAGGAACAGAGCCAGAGATGGCCAAGAACTAGCAGCTCCAGAATACACAGAGGAGGCCATAGGCATACTGCTGTGTTCGGAGATGTCTCGCTGTGTCTTCCCTTCAGCCACCTAAGAAATCAAAAGGAGGAATGAATCCCAGTTAGACACATTTATGCTCAAACATCTTGTTACAGAGCCTAAAGTTCTGAGCCCTAACATCTGAGCCCTAACATGAGACTATAGGAAACTCCTGTGGCCAGGCAGCATGGCCTCCTATTTCTGCTTGTCTGTGGAAGGAATAGCTCAAGGTAAAGTGGTCCAGGGTTCTGCATATGTGTGGCATCCCTTGCTTTGATGTCCAAAATCACACATTTCCGGACCCAAGGTTTTTCAAGTACCATCTCTAGGCTACCTGACTTGCTGCTTTGTGGAGGCAACAAATCGATGCATACCTGGGACATTTCTGAAGCAAGAGATGTGCTGGCACTGTCCCCTTGGAAACTTAGGGAAGATGAATAAAATAAGTCTTCCTGTCTTTCTAGAGCTGTCTGCTTCAGGTGCATTTGAGACCAAATGGCATTTTCTGCAAACAGAAGTAAAGCAAGAGTCTTATTGCGCTTTTCTTGAGCATGCCTTGGAGTCTAGTGAACAGAAGTATAGGGAAGCTAGTTTAGGAAATACACTCACAGGCTGTATGGCGTCGATTTAGAAAATACGTATTCTCTGTTCAGTGAATGGCCTGTTAGTTTGTGGGCTCATTTGTGAGGTTGAGCAGACTGCAAAGCCAATTTGCACTGTACTTGAGGGCTTTTGGGTCCCTCTGGGACTTTCCCAGCTGTCTATTTTGTAAGGGGCAGGTATGTAGTATCTCAGATGGGATGTTTAGGTTGTAGGTGCATCTATAGTGCTGGGTGTGAGGCTTTTCTATACAGCAGGAGGTAGGTCTTAATATTAATCATTTAGCTAATGATGCTGGTTTCTTTGGTATCATTTGGACACTTTTACAAACATAAAATATTTAAATCTTATTAAAGTCTGTTGCTAAAATGCTAGAGAGATAAAAGAAATACAGACTTAGGATTACATAGTTGCACGTAACAGGATTTTTGTAACTGCTATGCTGCGTAACCTATTAACAAGGTTATGTCAGGAGCCACTTATCTTGAAGTAAGTGAGGGCCAAAGGTGAGCGTAAGGAAGGAGGGGGAGAAGGGGAACCCCAACCCCATAATCCTGGTGCATTGCTACGGTTACTCAGGAACCTATAGATACAGCCTGTCTGACCTCCCCTTGTAATTTTTTTTGCAACCTCTTCATTTGAATGCTGTTTGGAAATAGCTTCGTCATGTTTGAGATGAACAGAAGTGTTGCCAAAAGACACAGAAACACTTCTGAAAGCAGATCCAGGCTCGTCCGATAGGCTGGATAAGAGATCATGGAGATGCTGCAGAAGAATACAGAACTATATGCAAGAGCAATGCAATGTAGGGTCTTGAAATCAACAGGATTTGAATTTCCCTGTGCTGAGCTGTTTCTCTGATTCTGTGATATGAATGATGCTTACCAAGGCATTTGTTGCTCTCAAACATGCCGAATATCTGGTCGCACTTCTCCTTCTGGTTTCCGCTGCTCTCACATGTACACCACAGGGAGACCTCCACGCTGGAGTTGCTGACATAGTTGGGTGTCATGGGCGTGCCTGTCCCAAACCCCCAGAAACTGCAATCAGGATTTACCTCACCAAGTGAAAGAAGCATAGTGAGTCCTGTTCTACTAAAGGGAATGCTCCCCTGGAAGCAGAAGCCTTCCATTGTGATATGCATGTTTCCCAGGAGAGGTGAGGAGTGCCTGCGAGGTGCCTGGTGAATCTACACGAAGTCTGCTGGGCTGTGAGAAAGTGTGGAGATTGCTACCCCTGACTCAGGCAATCTGATGGTGAGGTATACTGATAACTGAAGCTTTAGTGCAAGCTGGTGCAAGCATTAGATTGAAGGATGTGAAGCATCTGCAGGGACCCAACTGCGGAACTGGCATATGGCAGCAAAAGGCACTCTTACTTCTTCTGTAGCTGGCAACATTGTGCAGCCAAACGCCTTTTGCCAAATGAATGCTGCACACCTGCAGTGTCCTATTCAGCCAGAGTTCATTTAGCACAAAACCAGCAAAGACATCTGGAAAACCAGAAGGTATAGTCTAGATTTACAGCTTGCTATATTGGGATATTGCTCTGCTTCACAGCTCCTCTTTTGAGCCACTCTGAAAAAGTATTAGCAGGTTGGCAGTGAATGCCTAAAACCAAAGATGACCCTCCTTCAAACAGCTGGTAGTGCCATGTCCTGGCTGGGTCTGAGAAGATAGTGTGTACAACACTAAGAAACCATCAGGCGTCTAAAAGTCAGGCACTGAGGGAATGTCATGTTTAATCACTGCTGTGATTGGGATGTAAATCCTGCAGCAGGACTGAAAGGAATGACTTAGCTCATACAGGCCTACAGAGCCCTGTTGGTCAGAATCAGAATATGCCTGCAAGTTTGTGGCCTGACAGCATCCACCCTGTATGTTCCTGTATGTGTGGATATCACTTACCAATCATCCCCATGTAAGCCTGCAGGCATGCAGCATAGTTGTGCTGAGAGCAACCATCTGGAGACATGTCCGCAGGTTGACAGTTTTGTTGGAAGTCAGCCAGTCGGGACCTGTAGAAAGGAAAATAAGACTATGAGTGTCTATGCTGCTCTCTTCTCTTGGATAATATCCACTGCTGCCAGACCTACTTGCAGATATGGTCTTCTAAGCAGGAGTCCAGAAGCCAGAGGCAATTGGGTTTGGTATTATACTGAAAGGAACAATCAGGAACAATAGTTTTCCGGCGTCGTTCTCCACAAAGTTCATCTTGACATGGACAGAATAGGATCCTTTTGGTGAAATCCTCAGGGACTTTCTCAAAGAAATTCCTTAGCCCTCTGTGGCATCTGCGACGGTCACACATGTCCTCACTTCCTGCTCCCTTGGTGCAGATAGAGGCATAGTCTGTGCGCAGACGAACACACTTCTTGCTCAGATTACAGACGTGAGTAGCTTTCAGGCATGGATTTGTTGCATCTCCTGCTAACTGTGAGCCTAAAAAGCCAAAAGAAACCCAGAAACAATGAAGCAAGTCTCCAGAAGAGGTTCTGTGCAGAAACAGGAATAGCCTTTACTTGGTGGTCAGATCGGGAACATCAAAAACAACAAAGCGAAGTAGTCCTGCTATGTGCCTGTAGTATGACATTGCAGTTACATTAGTTACAAAATCATATTTTTTTATTGGTTCATGTTAAGGTGTTTGTTTCAGAAAGTGCATCATTGTGGGTTATGCCCTGTTTCATGGGCCTGGATCTGTGGCTATATTTATACTTGGTACGGGGGACAAATTTAGGCAAGTATGCAGAGCAGATGTTCCTCTGATTAAAGGGGCCATTACCCCAAATTGTTCTTCTTAATAATTTTCAGCCCCTGAAAAGATAAGAAAGGGCAGCATTATATCATGTAACCATTACAATCCTTACCTGATAACAGAGCTGCCAGTCTATTATAATCTGTCTTCCAGTGTTCTTCATTTGCTGGATTCTCATAGGGAGAGGTCTCCAAATTGAAATAACCTAGGCAAGATACAAGATATTTTATGTAGTAGCAGAAATGCTTTGTGACCAGCTTTCTTTTTTTTTTTTTATTTATTTTTTTTTTTTAAATTTGTGCCTGGCTGTTTCCTCAGGCTGGAGTTCAGAGATGCTCTGTCTTGCTCAAAGCCAAATGCCAAGAATGGTTCTGCTGGAGATGCAAAACTATCACTGTTTAAAAACATCATTACATTTTGTCTTCAGATTTCCTCTGACTAGAATTTGGTATATGTTGTCATTTGGTTTGTTTCAGCCCCAGTACAAGTGAGGAGATGGGCAGCATAGGCCAAGTAGAAGCATCCCACTAAAGCTGGAAAGAAGCAGCATGCTCAAGGATGCCATTGCAGTATGTGTCATAACCACATGTCCGTTTTCAGTGATGGACAGATGTGATCATTCTGAGGTGATTTTCACAGCAGTCCCCCCTCACAGCACTAAATCTAACTGTTTCAGAGTAGCTATCCTTGTTTCTTAGGGTCCCTGGGGTATTTGAAAGACTGGTCCCAGACCAGATCAGTTTGCTTATCAAACAGAGCAGCAATGACTCCACTTCACTAGGAGATGCGGTTCCAAAGTGATGCCTGCAGTGTTGGGAAGTGGCCTTTCACAGTTGTTTTCAGATGAGGGACAGGGGTGAGCCTTACTTAGAACCTTGTAAATTCATATTATTTCGTCTCACCATCTGTCATGCTGGAGTGAACGGTCCAGAAAACACGTAAGCAGTGCTCCTGTCTCTTCATGCGCCGGTGACACTTGCAGTGCAGCAAAGAGCTATTTCCGAGGTCTAGCTCTGCATTCAGACATCTAACCCTGCTATTGTGATCCAGTGGAAGGAAGCGAGTCTTAGCAAGGGCACAGTTTTCCTGGGTCCTGTAGGTGGCATTGCAGGTAGAGTCCAAGAGACACAGCTGTTCTGCTGTTACGCAGTCACTCCTTGGCAGAGCCAGGAGGTCTCCTGGTCAAGTAGGGAAAAGGTTGTTAGGATTACAGTCACGATGAATGCCACACAAACACCTTGTCACTGTTCTGTAGGCATCCTATAATCAATAAGGACCCCTTTCAAGAGGCAGAACTGGTTGGGGTCCTTCATATGGAGTACAAAGGAACAAGAGATGTCTCCATTTAGAAACAAAAGGATGAGTATTAATGTATGAAAGAGGGAACAAAAGGTTAAAGAAAAGTCTCAGAAATAATTCTGTTTAATAAAACCTTTTTTTATCACACTTAACTCTTTGAACTTGGCCAGGATCAGAGATGGCTCTGTATTTTATGGAGCAGTAAATCCCTGTGGAAACCTCAGTGTTGCTGAGGCATGCCTTGAAGAAGCTCTTCTGTCTGGGTAATGAAAACCGCAGTGCAATAAGCACATAGCAACACCATACTGTGTGCTGTGAGTCGGTGCTGCTGCCATTGCTAAAGCCTATACTGGTCATTAAGAGATGTACTGAGAAAGCCATTTGTAGGGTGTAAAAGCAACTATTTCACTGAAATGGGAAACTTAAGAATGCGTATTTTTTGCATAATAGAAGAAATCTGTAACATAAGATACAAGTAGTTTCATATAGAAGTGCTGATATGCAATCAATTTAAGTATATAGAACCCAGTCCCTGAAATCTCTGCCAAAAATGCTGGGATGCAGGCTTGGCCTGCCAGCTTTATCTGTTGGTTGACTGTGAACTCTGACTATCTCTGTGTGTGTATATTTGCATAACACATGCATTGATTATATATGTGCACACACATACACACCACCTTATGTGGAATTATTAAATAATCTCAATTTAGCAATATAATCTTTTAAACTAGACTTTTTTTCAGCTTTTTAATTTTTTTATATGGACTGTTGTCTCCTAAGGGTGATACTGGGGTACACCACAGGTAGATGGATTGAGTCTGTAATCTTTCTTCTTTTCTGTAGTATATGAATCTGTGTTTACAGTACAAGTACAATGAAGATCTGGAACAAGACTGCTAATAAAATTCATATATAGGCTAGTATGTTTCTTCCCTTCAGGACAATATTGCTTGGCTGGTTTTAGGAAATGACTGTGCTGAGCCTTACATCTACCTTTAATGTCCTTTGGGTACATGATCTTACCTATCGTTC